GGGCAGCTAGGAGGCACAGTGGACAGAGCACTGGCCTTGGAGTCAGGAGGACCTGAGTTCAAATTCGGCCTCAGACACAACACTCACTTAGCTGTGTGGCTCTGGGCGAGTCACTTAACCCCAACTGCCTCACCAAAAAAGAAAAAAGAAAGGATGACAAAAGTAGTTATACAATCATTTGCAACAACCACATATCTTTTCAGTAAAAATCCTGTCCATGATAAAAGAGCTTCCTTTCCCTTCTTTTGCAATTCTCTCCTCATTGAGATATGTTAAAAATCAATCCCTAATCACTTTTAAAATTGACTCCACCTGCAGCACAGGTTTCTTCTGAATGTATGGATTTGGTCAGGTGCAGGAGTCTTTTTAGAGTATCTGGCACTTCATCCACAAAATCCAATTTCAATTCCTCTCCATAGCTTAGACGTGATCTTGGGTTGTCCAATGCTGTACCATCAAAGCACAAGCTCCAGCAGGTTCTACCAAGCTGGAAAGGTTTCAAGGATAAATGATAGGTTATGTCTACTGTACAAAGACCAACCTAATTTGAGCATACAGACTAATGACTATGATGTGATCAGTCTATTTTGGCCATCAATCAAATGAGGCCAATTAATTAAAACGAAATAATACATTAGGTAATCTGATACCTAATTGGAGGAAAGATTAGGGAGAGGGACAGTGAAGAGGTGCAATTCCCTGAATTCAGAAAAAGAGGTATCCCTGCTCCCTTCCTGGTGTCTGTAAACAATCAAAGGAACATGGAAACAATAACTAATTGATCAGTACAGGGCCAGTTTTCAGATAAGACATGAAATTTCTTGGGATGTACAATTGTGTGAAAACTCCATCAGTCTTTGGATCTGACTGAGTTTCTGGTCAGCAGAAGGTCCTTAGTTAGGGTCTCTTAAGCAGCAGGTAGAGGTGATTCAGCTTTCTAGCCATGCAGGACTAGGTTCAAACAATGCAATAAGGTTTTCTTCCAGTTCCCACAATTGAATAAACTTATACTCATAATGAACTTATACTCATAAAGAGAAATGAGCTAGCTCCAGAACTGATTCACGAGTTCACCTAATTCCCACAATTAACCACTTGCTGTCCTAATCCCCTCAACTCCCTTAGCAGACTATATATGCAGAAATCTAGGTTTAGATCATTTAAAAATCATAAAAGGTTTTATTTAATGTGATTAAATGTGATTATCGTGGTAGAAGTTAAAGGCAGGCTGAGGTGGCAGGTGCAGAGCACAAGATCCCCAAGTGTCTTTCTTCCAAATACTATCACTATCACTACTTCCTGCATCTGCCTATGCTTATACTGGGGAGTAACAGAGACCCAAATCTTGTATTTCATGTTAACATTAATGATGATGCGCTTAATACTCATCATCTAAGGAGGGGTTAAAAACACCTCCTTATGCTGATCAGTAGGAAATAGAAGCCATCAGGACTCAAGCCTCAGATTTTCTGACAGGTATGAAGGCACATACAAGCAGATAAGATCCCAGTTCAATTTTAAAATGGAGGTGTGCAAAAAGGAAAATTAGGTTCAATATATAACAACTAGCTTTATGGTCAAATGTACTGTAATGTAATGTAATACAATGTGATCAATCCTTCTGTCAAGCAGATCTATACAGGAAAGTGTTGCACAAAATCTTAAAGTGCTATAATACAATATAATAAAATGGTCATAATTATTACGAACGCTTTAAGATCTCTGATCAACTCTGTTGCAAATGAACAGGAGGTTCAGAGGGAGACACACAAGTAAGATAACTTCAAAATTAACATACTGAATTACATATATTTTTAAAAGGAAATAAGCTAGACATTGGAGATTTGCGGTTTCATATACAATCCTCTTTTTCTGTTCTTTGTATGTTTGGAATATTGGCATGTGTTAATTCAAAATTAGCAAAATATTAAAAAAAAACATTTTAAGTATCTCAAAAACTGTTTCATGCTGTAACTAACAAATTTATCCCATGTCTTCACCAAGCACATTAATATAGACTGAAGTCTTGAAATTATGAACATTCAGATTATCCAATGCAAAGGTTATCTACAGCAAATTTAAAATCCCAATCTTAATTTCCTCTTCAACCCACTCTCCCATTACCAAATGGTATATACTAAACTGATTTTAGTATTAACCTAGGTAAAACAATTATGAAAGTAAACCTATAGGGACGACTACAGTTATAGACACCCATATACACATACACACACACACTCTTTTGAATTTTCCATGCCATCATTTGTACAGTTAATCAAGAACTGACTACAGGAACCTTAAATGCAAAATTTCATTTCAACAGGAATTACTGTTTATCTCTTGTGTATGTAGTTTTATGGCTGGCACAGAAAGGAATACAAAAGAAGCCTTAAGACTCGGTCAGGTCTTTATGGTGTTTGCAAAGTCTTTGCTAAAACAACATACACAATGGAAATGATTAAATGCCAAATGTGTGACAGACAATAAGTGTTACCCACAGGAAATGAGACCAATGAGAGATCAGCTTGGACAAGAAGAGTCAAGCATAGAATTATAGAGAAGCTGAGACTAGACCTGGGTCTTGAAAGCTGTAAAAACTTGGATAGGAAAAGAAGAGGTACCCTTTCCAGGTAAGGAAAACAACTGGAGCAAAAGCAAAGAGGCAGAAATAAAGAAAATCAAGTGAATGGCTTGATTTCATCAGAGGGTTTTTGTTGAAAATTAGGGGGGGAATAACCGAACATAGGGCCAGATTTCCAAGGGCTTTAAAACCTGGATGAGTTAAGAGTATGTTAACCGTAACTTTAGAGAAAATGATGAATATAATCAAAGAAACATTCAAAAGTCAAAGTGTTAACTGTTTCCTTGGGCTTGGCTATCATTTTGTCCCATCTATATTTCAAAGTTAACTTAGAAATGTTTCTCTTGGAACTCTTAGCTCACTACCAGAATTAGCTCTTGTCATGCACTACAACAAACCTTTCTCTCTCTAAAATTACTGTCTATATATTTTATATTTACTTACCTGCAGACATATCTTGCTTCCTTCTCCAAATATAAGCTCCATGAGGCCAAAAGAGAGATAGAGTGAGGGAAGAGAAAGAAGGGGAGGGAGGGAGAGACATAGATGGAGTGAGGAAGAGAGAAAGAGGGAAGGAAAGGGAACAAAGAAGCACAGAGGTAAAGAAGGAGAGGGAGGGGGAGAGAAAGAGACAGGAAGAGAGAGAGGGAGAGGGAGAGGAAAAAGGAGAAGGAGAAAGAGGAGGGAGAGAGGGGGAGAGGGGGGAGAGAGGGGGAGAGGGGGGAAAGAGGGGGGAGAGGGGGGAGAGAGAGAGAGAGAGAGACAGAGGGAGAGGGAGAGGGAGAGGGAGAGAGTGCGAGAGAGTGCAAGAGCGCACAAACTAACCCTAGTGCATGTGCATGAAAGGCAATGTGATATAAAGGTCAGATGACCTAAATTGGGAATAGGCATGACCTGGGTTCAAGATCCCTCTCAGAAACACTCTGGCTACTGGATTCTGACAAGTCACTTAACCTCTCAGCGTCCAAAGGAACTCTCTAAGATTATTATTAAGCCTAATAGCTGCTGATCTGCATTGGTGAAGTTTCCTCATAAAGGAATTCCTACACCATAAAATCAAAGGCCAAAACAAAAGAAAAATTCCCAATACCTAGTAGAGTCCCTTAGCAAGCACTTAATAAATACAAAACATGTGTTTGTTGTTTACATAATCATAAAACAGGATGAGCTTAACACATTCAATATGAAACCTTTAGACAAGTTCACCGTTTGCTGAGTTTCTGGAATAATACATGGAGAAAGGAAAGAAACATCTATTTATATAGTACTTACTATGTGCCAGGGGCTTTTACAAATATAATCTCATTTGACTCTCACAACAACCTTTATAGGCAAATGCTATTGTTCTCATTTTACAATTAAGGGAACTGAAGCAGAGATTAAGTGACTTGTCCAGGGTCATACATCTAGTAAGTATCTGAAGCTAGATTTGAATTCAGGCTTTGCTGTCTCATTACATCTAGTCAAAAGAATCCATCAGGGAAAGACTTTAAAATCAAGTAAATTTCAAAACAGAGCCAAATGGATGGAATCTCTAAAGTATGTGATCCGAACCCAAATCATACCATTTAAACTCTCTTAATCATTAAAACCTCCAATAAGGGGAAGTTTACAATCTCTCTCCAAAGAAAAAACGTTGGTCAAAAAATGTTTCCTAGTTAACCTCTCCTTTGTTACATTCTTGCTCATGCTGTTTCATCAACCAAAGCCTTGCAATATGGCAAAGCGAAATAGTCCACACTTGTGCAAGGCAACATTACTTAACTTCAGGAGTTGGGTCGAAACTTTCCAAAATATCTTGCCACATTCGATTCTAAAGCGTCTGCCCACCAGAAAACGAAATGCGTTCAATGGTTTCACTGAACATTTAGTGTTTCGTTAAGGCTATGTTGCCCAAGCCTAAGCCATGGTCTTCACTATGTACCCAACGAACAGGTGCAGCACCGAGAGGCAACTTTCACTATCCCAGACACACACGGGATTCGACATTTACCTGAGTCATCATTATGCAGATTTTTCTTTACAGAGACGTTCCCAAATTAGTACGAACATTTCCATCTCCTTAGTTTTGGGGTGATTTAAATAATAAGGAAACAGTAAGACGACCATGTGGGCCCGGCTTTGCTCTGGGCGGGGAGGGGAGGATTGCCTTGGGTTTGCAGCATCCTTAAAGCTGGGGGCCCCCTATTCCCACCCGAGGTCCCGGGGGAGAGGGGAGCCTTCTAAGGGTACCCCTTCTCTTCCTCCCCCGGCCTCTCCGCGTCCTGGGGGGCCAGGGCCGAAGAGCCCCCCTTTATCTCCACGCACCAGAGCGAATGAGAAGGGGACAGGATGAAAGACGGGGGAGGAGGGGGCTTCCCTCGTCACCCACAGTGCCCAAGAGCCGAACCACCCACCCTTCGCAGGCCGCTGGCCTCACCTTGCCCGCAAGCTCCGCCTGGGCACCGGCACTCGTCTGCGCGGTCACGTCGGGTCCCTCGGACCAGGGCGACTGCTCCCTCGCGCTCGCGCTCGCGCCCGCTCCCCTGTTGCGGCGGCGCCGGCCCCTCTCTCTTGCCGTCCAGCCGCCACCGCCGCCGCGAGCGTGCCCTCCTCCGCTGCCATGGCGATAGTCACCGCCCCCATCGGCCGCCGATTGGTCCTGACTGGCCGGCTCCGTTTCTCAGAGGGCACTGATTGGACGGGGCGAAGACGAGGCCGACGGGGCGAGAGAGCGAGAGGGAAAGAGAAGAGGCAGGCCGGGGACGGATAGGAGGGAGGGCTCCCTAAGAGGTACGTGGCGCTCTGCGAGGCGGGCGGGGCCTGGTGGGAAGGCCGCGCCCCTCTCTTCTCCGGTGCTGGGATTGCGCCCGGGACACCTTCCTCGGCCAAGGTTCCTCCCTCTCTCTCGTCCCCCCTCTACTAACCTCGCCGCCCCTATTGGGTAGGCGGCAGTGCGCAGAGTGAGGGGCGCCTGCATTTCCTCGCGTGGCTCTGGTCTGCGGCAGAGCCAGAACTAACCCGGGGCTATCGGGGCTTTGGCCCGGGTGCTGACGGGGGCAGGGCGCCCCCACCGTCTCCTCCCTCCAGGGTCCTCTGACAGCCATGCCCTTCTGCCTAAGCCAACCCTCTGATGTGAGTCTCTGCTCCTCTTCCCCAGGGCTACCTGGAGTGGGGAGTGGAGATGAGGAGCAACTCAGTATGCCGCTCCACCCCCTCCCCCACCAGCCTGCCCCCCCCCACCAGGATCCCCTGATAGTCGTACCCCGCTGTCTAAGCCAGCCCTCTGATGTGAGTCTCTGCCCCCACCTCAAGGGCTACCTTGGGTGGAGATGAAGAGCTCAGCTGCTCCTCCTCCCTCCCCCACCAGGCTGGCTGGCTACCCCATCTCCAGGCTAGGCAGTCACCCTTCAGTGTCCCTCTCTGCTAAAGCCATCCTACTGACATGAGTCACTGCCTCCCAAAGTCCACCTTGAATGGGGTATATAATAAGGAATTCAATATGCTTCCCTCTGAATAGTAAACAGACCTAACCCTCCCTAGTCCCTATTTTCTGCCTTCCTTTTCCACAATGCCCATTGGAAACCTCTATTGTTAATAAACTCCCTTTATCTTAGATTTCTTTCCTTTCAGATTCCTTCCATCTAACAGTGCTCACCAAAACCTAACTTTCTTCCAAAGACAGCACATTTCTTGGTACCCTCTCCAAGACTAGTCAATCATTCTATCACAGGACCAGAAAGGGTGTTTAGCATACTCTACTCCATAATATCACTTTTAGAACTTCGAACTAGGAGTTATCTCCCTTCTTTTAAAGTTTACTCAATTCTGTTGAGTAAATCCTGTTGATCTTGGTTGTTGTAATTTCTAGACCTAGTCTCACTTCTCCCCAGTCAGTTCAGTATCTGGCTGATCCTTTTCTTCTCCAACCCAACCCTTCCCCTTTTCTAGCACCTTGGCTTTCCAGTTCAACTTCTTCAACTTTGAAGACCTCATACCAGTGTTCCTCAACCATGCACCATAGAGGTCATCCCAGCTACATCCTGTCCCCACTACTCCAGGTGCTAGAATTCCTATTCATTATTCTGCTTTGGCAGTATTCAGGGTAGGAGGAAAGGACGCAGTCTTGCAGCTTGAATATGTGTGAGCAAAGCCACAGAACCACTCTGCTAATGATGGCTCAGGCCATACCTCTCCATGGCTTCCTTCCTCTCAGTCAACCATCTCCTATAAGCCCAACTTCACTCACGGACATGTTCCTCTCATACCTCTAATGAAAACAATAATAGTGGTAATAACATTTTACTTCTATACAGTATCTCAGAGTTTTCAAAGCACTTTAATGTGGATTATCTCATCTCAATACCACAGCAATCCCATAAATCAAGACAACAAGCCTTAGAATGCCTGGAATGCTCTCCCTCTCCTCTTGGCCTATTGGCTTCCCTGGCTTCCTTTAAGTCCCGACTAAAATGTCATCTTCCACAGGAAACCTTTTTCAACCTTTGTTAATTCTAGTGCCTTCTCTTTTTGGTTCATTTCCTATTTATCCTGTGTATATCTTGTTTGTACATTATTTATTCACTTGTCTCTCCTGTCAGATTATGAGTTCCCCAAGGTCAGGGACTGCCCTTTTAGTATCCCTAGCACTTAGCATGGTGCATGGCCCGTTGATGTTCAGTCTTTTGGTCATGTCCGACTCTTCGTGACCCTATAGACCATACCATGCCAGTGCTGTCCATGGGGTTTTCTTGGCAAAGATTCTGGAGTGGTTTGCCATTTCTTTCTCCAGTAGGTTAAGGCAAGCAGAGGTTAAGTGACTTGTCCAGGGCCGCACAGCAAGTAAATGTTTGAGGTCAAATTAGAACTCCGGTCTTCCTGACTCCAAGCCCAGCACTCTATCCAGTGAGCTGCCTCTTAGCACAAAGCAAACAGTTAATAAATGTTTATTGTTTATTAACAATTCACTATTATGCACTTGCTATGTGCCAGGCACTGTACTAAGCATGGAGCTACAAATATAAGCAAAAAAGAAAGACATAGAGTTTACATTCTTCCCTCTAAGAACAAAACATCAAAGAGGGGGAATGGGAGGGGTGGGGAAGAAAGGAAAGGTTCTTGAGTTGGGACTTCCATGGCTGGAAAGTCAGAAGCACAGCCAGGAGGGAATGGCAGGCCTGGTCCCCTCTCCAAAATTGGGGAGGCCCCAGGAATATCACCAATAGGAGAAGGAAAGGTAAGAAAGGCAAGTATTAATCATGTTTGACAAATGTAAAAAAAAAACTTCCAGAGTTTGTACTATGTTCCTTGTGTCAGATCTCTCAGTACTTTAGCGATCTCTATTTATAACATTCCATAATTCCCATGTTGCTTCTGTATTCACATTCTTCATAAGGTTGCTGGGCTTACTGACTTTTGCATCCAGGGAAACTGTGTTCTGATCATAACAAAACTGCAGTACTATCTCTGTGTTGTTGGTTTGGTGACTGACAACAATGGACTCTTGGATAATTTTTATATCATCATTCTGGATTGCATTCACCTTAATTAGGGCCTTTTCACCTTTTGATCTGAACAGTCACCTTTCCCAGGAATCTAAAAAGGACTTTAAAATATATATATATACATATATATATATATATATACGTATTTCTTAATGTTTTCAGTTTTGTTGTAAATTAGGCTTTTATAGGTTTTCACAAGTGGAAACCAGAGACTAATTTGAGCAATTCCTGAAGAAGGTATTCTTCTATCACTTGAAGAGATCTTTTTATATGTGAGGATGAGCTAAGTCAGTCAACAAGCATTTATTAAACGCCTACTATGTACCAGGCACTGTACTAAGCACTGTACAAAAAGCAAAAGACAGTCCCAGCTCTCAAGGAGCTCATAAACTAATGGGAGAGACAGTATACAAACAACTATGTACAAACAACCTATATACAGGATAACTAGGAAATAATTAACAAAGAGAAGGCACTAGAATTAAGAGAGATTAGGAACGGCTTCTTGGAGATGAGATTTTAGTTAAAAGAAGCCAAGAAAGCAAGTAGACTAAGATAAGGAAGGAGAAAGTTCTAAAAAAGACTTGTTGCCTTGCCTTATGGGATTGATGAAAATGTCCTACCCATAGTCAAGTTGGGCAAATTAGAATACTCCTTGCTCCCCATTGCCACTTTCAAACTATCTCTTTACCACCTTCACTCAGCAAACTGCTCCCTTAAATTCATTCAATCCAAATTTATTACCCAACAAGGATTCTGATAGAAAAATATTTTCCTTCCTTCCTCAGTAAGTTCAGCATCTGGCTTATGGTGTTTCTCCGTCGCAACTTTTGCCCTCGTACTAGGTGACTTCAACATGTGTATTGATAATCTATCAAATTTACTAACTTCTCAGCAATCTTCTCAGGTCTTCTTACCTATTCCCCCATTCCATCTCAGTTACACACAGAGATGGTCATACCCTTGATCTTTCCATCACCTACAAGTGTTCTACTTTCATGTTCATAAACTACAGAATTCCTTTACTTGATCATAATCTTTTATCATTCTAACTTTCCCTCTGATTTATGACCCCCAACCCTGTTCTTCACAATGACTGTCAATGCCTCAGTTCTTTCCCAGGTCATCACCTCTTTAGTGGCTACACTCTTCCTTTCCCTATTCTGTTTGGTGAATTATTTCAATTCTGTATTTAACTTCATTTCCCCCTTATCTATTACCAATCAGGCCTTGCCAAACCCCAACTCTGTTTTACTACCATCATCTGTTGCTTCTATCCACATGCTACTGAATGAAACTAGAGAAAATCAGGAAACTATGCAGCCTAGATCTACTACAAATTACATAATCTCATCTGGGTCCTCATTTCAGCAAGGCATTCCTTTTATACCTTCCTACGTAACTCATTGTCCTGCTTACTACAGCAGTTCCAAACAGCCTCATCTCTCCTCATGCCGCTCAAGCAACCTCACTTTCTCAACAAAGGGTCTTGCTTCATACTTCACCAAAAAAATTGAGGCCATTAAATTAGAACTCTCTTCTTTTCTTCTTCATCTCATGTCACACAGATGCCATTCTCCACTATCTCCTCCTTCATCCCTATCTCACATTAAAAAGATGGCCTTTCTTATTGTTAGACAAACCCCTTTATATATACCCTTGATCTCATACCTTCCCATCTTCTCTAGCAGATTGCCTCCTTTATCATCCCCACTCTCTTACTAATCTTCATTTTTTATAATGGTAATTTAGTTTTCTTCTTTCTTTTTTTAAAATCAAATTAGCCAATGATTTATCTATCTTATTGAATTTTGTTTTGTTTTTTATAAAACCAGCACCTAGTTTTATTTATTGGTTCAATGGTTTGTTTGTTTTTTGTTTTTTACTATCAATTTTATCATCTCTGAATTTTCGGAATTTCTATTTTAGTGTCTAATTGGGGATTTTAAATTTGTTCTTTTTCTAGTTTTTTTAGTTGCATGCCCAGTTTGTTGATCTGCTCTTTTTCTTATTTGTTTTGTTGTTGTTG